CTTTCAGATTGACACAAAAATCTCTAAATGTAAACAGACAATTCCAAGCATGTTTCTATTACATGAGTCTTTCAGTGCACTTGTAAACACACACTTCCTCTGAATCCAGTAAGGATAACGTGTAACGTTCCGTACTTCACTCATCATCATGAAAGCTAATACTGTAGTTTATTCAGGTATAAACAGGTCCTTGTTCAACAGAACACAAAGGAAACCCAGAGGAGCAGACAGATCTCTGTGCATGCAGAATGCTAATAGTGAACAGAATAAGATGATGAGGGTGAGGATGAAGGTGAGGGCCAATGCTAATCACAGTGCACTACCATCTCGTAGGCTTCCCTCGAGTTCTGCATAACACAGGCATTGCAACTCGGCAGACAAAAAAGCCATGTTTAATTACTCTGGAGGCAAATACGGTAATGATCAGGCTAAAAGTGCAGCCATCTGCAATAATCCAAACCTTTATGTTAAGAATTTATTTAATGAAGGACACAGCTTTGTTGCTTAGTCAGTGTATTTAAAAAAAACCAGACACTTCATCCATATCAAATCAAGGTTGTGGCCTTCAGCAAATAGAGCCAATCTACTGACCACATTTGAAAAGGGAAATGGCTTGATTTCAGCTAAATGTTGTTTTTGTCGTGTCAGCCTGATGTTCTTCTGTTTACGGCATCTCTAGGAGTTAAATCTTGTCAAGTAATGACAGATAGAACATCAACTCGCAGAAAGATAAGCCAGGGTTGACGATAGTTGAGGCAGAACCTCTGGCCTGATTTGCCCTCAGATAGACCAAATTAATGATGGCTGTCTGCTGCTTGAAGCCTCTCAGCTTGTAAAAGAAAAAGCCAGTAAAGCAGCATGTAGGCTTGTGTGACAGTCAGATTGTGCTTTCTCTAAACAAACAGCTGCCACGAGAGGCAAAGAACAGCCAACAGATGGAGAAATTGGCTTTGGATGACACTATAAAAAGAACCTCCCAATCTGTGGAGCATTGATCCAGTGCAGCGTCTCAGTGTTAATCAAAGCATCATGTGCTCTCACGTTATGGTTGAAGTTTAGTGACAGACATAGCATGAGACTTAGCAGGTGTCTAATCAGCTAATCAGGGTTGCTTTAGAAACAGAGGAATCCTGAATTGGACTTTTTGTTTCTCCTAATTTACTCTTTGGAGTGTAGAGTGTGAAATTTCTCAATTTGACCACCATGGCTTACATTCTTGAAGGATTTGTAGGTCCCTGTTTGTTTTTGGAACATGTACAACTACAGATGGATTGATACTCATACTGGTATCGGTATACTGTACTCATGCTTGTTTAAAAAAAAAAAAAACAACACTTTTGATATCAATATCCGATACCTTTCCATCCAGCAGGCAACTTTTGATATATTTTTGAGTGTAGTGTACATTGCTGCATTAATAAACAGACGATACATAATGGTAGCGATCTGGACGTATTTCACAATGAACAGTGTCAATGAAAGCAAAGCAGTATCAATATCAAGAGGAGAAACTACAGCATCTTCTTTCAAGTAATCAATAAAACATCTTAAGCGTACAACTCAGCAGGAGGAGTTTACTGCTAGCAGCACACATTGGCAATAATGATGTAGCAAACACTAAGCAAGATAAAAAATACAACGCTAGGTGAGTGAAAATAACAGCACTTACCTAGTATGGTGTTCTCAATGATCAATCATTATTGGTCTCGGACGACGAGGAATTCCGACATAATAAAGACGAGGCAACTTTACTTACAGCTGTACAGTTGCACTATTCTGAAGTGAACCAAAATCCTTTCCCCATTACAACCCTACTCAATCCAAGGTAACCAAGGCAGCTAGCTAATGCAGTTCAATTAAAATCGACTAGCTAACGTTATAGAGAACAAGCCTAGTAGCGTGTGTGTGGATATGGACATGTGCGCTGTTCATGGCCACTGTTTAAACTGAGAAAACAGACACACAGCTTCCATTACTTCCCTGATTGATTAATACTAAGTAGTTTACTCATTTCTTTATCGATATAGATGATAGTGATGTAACCAAACATGATCTAAACAGATACAAATATGAATACTAGGTGCACTATTGTTGTTGTTGTTGTTGTTGTTGTGTTTTTTTCTCTGAAAGCTTGTCACAGGGCATCTGGCTGAGACTAGAGGTGTGCTTCTGGACCAAACAAAAAAAGTCAGATGAGCAGGAGGTAAGCGAGTTCTCAGATATGAAGCTCATATCATTATTAAATGCCTGGTCAGGGTCACAGTGGCTTAAATGAGTTTGTTTAGTGGTTATGATGCTTGCCTCGCACCTCCGGGGTTGGGGGTTTGATTCCCGCCTCCGCCCTGAGTGCTCGGAGCTTGCATGTTCTCGGGGGTTTCCTCCGGGCACTCCGGTTTCCTCCCCCAGTCCAAAGATACACACTGTAGGCTGATTTCCAAATTGTCCATAGTCAGTGAGTGTGTATATGTGTGTGTGTGTGCGATTGTGCCCTGCGATGGGTTGGCACCCCGTCCAGGGTGTCCCCCACCTTGTCTCCAGGATCCCCCACAACCCTGTGTAGGATGAGCAGTACAGAAAAAGGATGGATGTTCCATCCATGGGCAAGTACAAACAAAATAACCCTGTGCACAGGATTATAAAGAGTCCTGCACACATCTCTCAAGTAATATGAGGTTGAGGAGTTATCAGAGCCTGACCATGCTGACATTTCTACTTTTTTTTTCCAGTGTTACCAAGTTTCTGGGGTCATATATGTAGGGTTCATATTTAGTTGGAAAAAAAAAAAAACACCACAAATAAACATATAAAACATTTCAGTTAAGATGGTTTAGTCCATGCCCACTTTGAGTTTGAATCCAAATACAGATACAGATACGAATACTTGGAGCACTAAACAACATATACCGGGTTCATGAAAAGTCAGGAACCAATGAGAGTAAAACTACATATACTTAATTTTGTATTTATTATTTCCAGCATATGCTCTAAGTGTTCATCCTTACGCTCTATGCATTTTCTCAGTCTCTGTATTATGTTTTTCGTTTTTGCAGATTTTTCTCAACATGTTCGCATCGACGTATTTGCTCAACATATTCCCATTGCTTCCTGACTTTTCCGACACCCTGTAGATAGTGCCATTGCTATTATTACATGCCTAATCAATGAGTACCAAAAAATTTGTACTCATACTCAGCCTGAAAAAAAAAAGTTTCAATGCATTGCTATGTACAACTGCGGGAGCTGGTGGTACACAAGACAGGAGGAAGATGAGTGGGAGGAAGGTTGAAAGGGGATGTGGGGAAGGTTCTGCAGGATGGCTTTCTATTTCTTGGCTCATTTGCAGCGAGTATGTACAGGTGTCCATGTACACGCACCATATACACACACAGTGGGGGTTGCTCAGTGTGCAAGCATCTGCTCGCCAAAGTACAGTTAGCACGGTGCATTTTCAAGGACGACGGGGCATCGCAAATAAGAACCACTTCACAGGGCCTTCTGGTCCTACTCAGATTTCCGCCTGTGTGTTCTCATTTAAACACACACACATACACACAGTATTTAGATGTTCTGAGGATCCAAATTGGGCAGGTAATTCCCCCTAAAAACGTTTGGGTGTGTTCCGTATATTTCAGATCTGCTCACTCATGATGGAGCAGTGGGTACATCTCATATAGAGGGGTAACACAATTCCACAGTCTGTATGTGTATTTGTTTTGTATCTATCATTTGTATCTGTATCTGGATTTGAACTCAAGAAGTTGACGTGGCCTAAATTAGAAGGTTTAAATATGATCCCAGAAACATTAAAACACGCTGGGAAAAAAAAAACAGACAGAGAAATGCCAGAATAATCAGGATAGTTCATAACTGGTCTCAACAACGATCTGCAGAGGTTTTTGTAAATCTCACTTGCTCAGTTATTGCTTTTGTTCGTACCTGCTTGAGATATTTCCTAACAAACTTAGTTGGTTCTATTTCCCTAAACTTAAACTACTAGCAATTTAAACCACTGTGACACGGACCAGGCAGTTATTAAGGAGTACCACATATTCATGTTAGTAAATTCGATCTTGAATCCAGGATTGTTTCTGCCTTCACTGGAAAATATTTCTATTACGACTTGTCAAATTGCATCACACACTCACACACATACACACTCACTCACACACACACACACACACACACACACATATGCACAAGCACAAGCCCTCCTTGTTGTGGAAACTTGGAATGAGCAGTAAAATTGCTTGCCAGATTTCCCTCCTCTTCCTGACAGATGTTCTTAGAACAGGTGACTGTGGTCAGATAGACTTATACCACAATGAGGCAGGGCCAGACGCTTGTGCAGAGGGAAGAGAACAAGAAGTTCACACCTGAAGCCACGGAGTGGGAGTGCGTGTGTTTTTGTGCATGTGTATCTGATGCAATTTGACATACTACAACAGAAATATTTTGCTGCGTAACTGTGACAGTAGGATGAGGCCTAATGAGAACTTCACTTCAGGGGCGTGATGGAATGGTGTATGCTGTGATAAGGAAATCTGGGGATGTATCAGTTATATTGAACAGATAAACTGAAAATCTTTTAATACATTCTGAGTTGTGTTACATGCCAAACAGTAGAAGCTCCCTCCACACCATATATCACCCCATGTCCTGCACATTACAGTGTTTTTCTACCTCCCAACATACCTGATTCAACTAATCAGCTAATTAACAGGAAGTGCGCAAGACAGCGGGGTTCTCCAGGACCAGGGTTGGCAACCTGTTATCTAGGGTACAGCTTTATAACCAGGAAAGTTGTTTAAGCCTACAACCCTATTTTATTATTATTGTTGAGCATTTTTCAATTCCTCCAATAATTACAGTAATTCATACATCATAACGTGTTTATTACTACTCATTGTTTTTCCCCTTACTGTATTGTATATGTATTCTTATTGTACTTCTTTTATTCTAGCTTAATTATATTTGTTTATTTTATTCATATTTCTTTAAGGTCCCTGGAGGATTAATGGTGAGGCCTTGGTGCTCTCACTGATGTGGCCTGGGTTCGATTCCCAGCCAGGGAACCCACCCCAGCCACTAGGGTTGCACAAAACAGTGCACTCCCAGTGCCGGTCGTAAGCCCGGATAAAACTGGGTAGGGTTGCGTCAGGAAGGGCATCCAGCGTAAAAACTGTGCCAAATCAAATATGCAGACCAATGATCCACTGTGGCAACACCAAACAGTAGCAGCTGAAAGAACAACAACAATCATATTTCTTGAGTTGTTTTTAATATCTTGGTGGAGACCGAATGTCCCCACAAGGATAGGAATATCTGACAGTTTTGACCTGGTGGGGATATTTTGGCTGGTCCCCATAAAGAAAACTGCTTTTTTTTTTTCTATTACCCGAAAGCTATTACCCGACATTCCACTGCAATGCCGTGGTGTGTCAAACATGAGCCGATAACACGGAAATGGACATAAAAAAGTCTAAGTGTAACAGAAATCTTTTTTTATCTCTTTACTTGATATTCTTGATTAAAAACGGTTGTTGTATGTCAAGACAATAAGGTCAGGAAAAGGGGCGATTTAGCTTGCCTTAGTGTTGTTATGTTCACTTTTATATGCCAAGCAGCAATAGGCTATATCCTACTTTGCTTTATGACGTTTAATGTCATTAATAACAACTACAAAACAGTAAGACCTTTATAAGCACAATGTCATTATATTGAAAAAACTATGTTTAAGCAATGTTAATTCACAAAAGTTTATGGTGAAATGTTAATGTTAAACATCAGAACTGTACAGATATATGATCAGCATCACATTGCATGTCAGAAATTTATTCACAGCATATCTGGGAAAACTGCTTTTTTTTTCAAACTAAATAAAATAAAAAAAAAATAAACAAAACAAACAAAAAAACCTTAGGACCCATAGTAAGACAAATGTATCCAAGACGTTAGCAGCAGAATCTTTAGTCCTGTAAGTTGCGAGGTCACATTCCACAGATACTCAAATGGATTGAGATCTTGGGAATTTGGAGGCCAAGTCAACACCTTGAACTCTTTGTAATGTTCCCCGAATCATTCCTGAACAATTTTTGCAGTGTGGCAGGGCGCATTATCCTGCTGAAAGAGGCCACTGCCATTAGGGAATACTGCTGCCATGAAGGGGTGTACTTGGTCTGCAACAATGTTTATGTAGGTGGTACGTGTTAAAGTAATATCCACATGAATGCCACGACCCAAGGTTTCTCAGAAGAACACTGCCCAGAGCATCATACTGCCTTCTTCCCATAGTGCATCCACATGATGTACAAAAAAAAAATAAAAAAAGTAATTCATCAGACCAGGCCACCTTCTTCCACTGCTTCATGGTCCAGTTCTGATCCTCATGTGGCCATTGTAGGCGCTTTCGGCGGTGGATAGCGGTCAGCATGGGCACTCTGACTGGTCTGTGGCTATGCAGCCCCATACACAGCAAGCTGTGTGTGTTCTGACACCTTTCTATCTACCTATTTTTCAGCAACTTGTGCTACAGTAGCTGTTCTGTGGGATCGGACCCGACAGGCTAGCCTTCACTCCCTAGGTGCATCAATGAGCCTTGAACCAGCATGACCCTGTGGATGGTTCACCAGTTGTCCTTCCTTGAACCACTTTTGGTGGGTACTTACCACTGCATACTGGGAACACCCCACAAAACCTGCTGTTTTGGAGATGCTCTGACCCAGTTGTCTAGCCATTCCAATTTGGCCCTTATCAAAGTCACTCAGATCCTTATGCTTGCCCATTTTTCCTGCTTCCAACACATCAACTTCAAGAAATGACTGTTCACTTGCTGCCTAATATATCCCACCCCTTGACAGGTGCCACTGTAACGAGATAATCAATGTTATTCACGTCCCTGGTCAGTGGTTTTAATGTTATGGCTAATCGGGGAATAATATGGATAGTGAAAACTAAATGATGTGTGTGTTTTTTAAGTGAACTCAAGTTTAAGTCAAGAGCTAAGTGAACTCCTTTTTCCCATGTTTTTTACAAACTCTGTGACACTGATGACATCAGTACACTCTCTCACAGACAACCAGAAAACATGGAAATAATTTCCAGACCACAGGTGTGAAAAACAAACACTATTTTCTCTCTATTATGAATGAAAACTGAGAAATAATATCAAGTGCAAGCAGTGTATTCAGAACACAGTGCTAAACATAAATCCAAAGTAATTCACTCCAAACCCACACTTCCTCTTACCCTCCACTTTCTTGGTAAAAGTTTCTCTCAGCATTTCCTTTTCAGAACAAATCATAGCTAGGAAGTTTAGTTCCACTTAGGAGAACACCAAGTTATAGGGGAACGAAAATACCTGAGTAATTTGTACTTTACTCAAGTATTATTGAAATTGATTAACTGTATGAATCAAAGGACATGAGATTTTTCTCTTTTTTTCCCAAAAGCGTTACGTCACCTTTGCCTCCCTTATAAAAGTGAAATATTGTCCTTTAAAATTTGCCATTCAAAACTAACGAGTTTACTTTAAGTTTGGTAACTTTTTTATCTAGTTAATTTTTGTAAACCTGTTCGTTACATTAGCTAGCTAGACAAGTTTTTACATTTGTTATATTAGCTAGCCAGCTAAATTATGTAATTTAGTTTGTTACATCAGCTAGCTAGTTAGGTTTTATAAATCAGATTATTAAGTTTGTCAGCTAGTTAAGTTTTGTTTTCTTTGCTAACATGCCTTAGCATTCAAAAACATTAGCTAATCAGCAAGCCAATGTCTCGGTTTATCTAAGAAAAATATTTTCCTTATAACGGACTGCTTAGAGAACTAGCTGGTCATGTATTAGGCATGATGAACTTGTGGTCAAAAATATTTACTTTTTATCTTGAATACATGACTAGGTTTAAACGTCGATACATTTTGACTTTCATTCATGTAGATATTTACCTCCATAGTTCTACTTTTTAACTGAGTAAGATTTTGACCCAGTACTCAGACTTTTATTTAAGTACAGTTTCTCTGTGCTTTTTTCCACCCCTGATAGTGGTAAGATAAGATTTTTTGGCAATGCAGGCACATAGGCACTGTCCACATCAGAGCACACTTTTGTGAAAGCTATTACCCGACATTCCACTGCAATGCCGTGGTGTGTCAAACATGAGCCGATAACACGGAAATGGACATAAAAAAGTCTAAGTGTAACAGAAATCTTTTTTTATCTCTTTACTTGATATTCTTGATTAAAAACGGTTGTTGTATGTCAAGACAATAAGGTCAGGAAAAGGGGCGATTTAGCTTGCCTTAGTGTTGTTATGTTCACTTTTATATGCCAAGAAGCAATAGGCTATATCCTACTTTGCTTTATGACGTTTAATGTCATTAATAACAACTACAAAACAGTAAGACCTTTATAAGCACAATGTCATTATATTGAAAAAACTATGTTTAAGCAATGTTAATTCACAAAAGTTTATGGTGAAATGTTAATGTTAAACATCAGAACTGTACAGATATATGATCAGCATCACATTGCATGTCAGAAATTTATTCACAGCATATCTGGAATCAAACATATCCCATATTACGTTGATGTCTTTATAGGGACTGATGTAAACAGCCTTGAAACAGAAGTGATGTAGCCAGGTGAAATCATGTGAGCTGAGCCTCTGACCCCTTGAACATTTACACCCATCTCATCTGCCCTTACACAACATCACAAAAGTGTGCACGTCAGCAAAAACCTTAGGACTTAGGGTAAGAATTGAGACAGAGCCATAAATACTTATACAATCTTTATTATTATGTGATTTTAGGTGCAAATAAAACAGTACTATTAGTTTTTCTTATCTTTTTTGGCCTAACCATAATACTTGCTTTGTCACTGCAACGTTATGTTATTCAAAATCTTTGGAAATGCAGTTGTAAGCAGGTACTGCAATATGCCATGAACTTTTCACCATTCCATCTCCAGAACAAATCCTGTGAAGTACAGAGACTAATATGATGACACAAGGGCTACATGACCTTGCCATGTCCACACAATGCTGATTAATATTCAGATACGCTTCCTGAACTTGAAAGATGGCCTACCTTGCAAATGTGATACACTGGTCCAAAATATTATACAAATGAATGGCAGTAAATAAACTTGGCCATGTTTGTTTTAAGACGCATGCATAAAAAAGTATTCAGATCCCGAATGCAGTTCTCAATTGGAAAAATATGTCTAACTTTAACAATTCGAAAAACTAGAAAAAAAGTTTTAGGCAAAGCAAAATGATATAACCTGTGAATCTACGATAAGGTAGTGTTTTATAGCCATTCGCCTGGCAGAAGTAATAAAGTGGGTTCCACAGATGTTTGGTGTAGTCATGATGCACAAGCTCATCCTACAACATTATAGATTGTTAAAAGTCCTAAAAACAGAACAGATTCTGTCATTATAAGCATGCATCGCTGCCAAGAGGACACACCCCTGATTGATCCAGGGACAAACTTTTTAATAAACACATATCTCCTTATGGATTGCACAGAAGCTTGGATGGTAATGGGACTCGTGACCTATGAATTGTGCTAGAGATGGATGAGGTGCTGCAAGGCTTCAGGACGTGTTGTGCTGGCAACAGTGAAGCTCTCATGGAAATCAGAATGATCGATCAGAATTGATACTCCACCTGGAAGCAGAGAGCCATCCGTAACGTGCCACTTTTAATGAGAAAAGTGTAGAGTTCAGAGAAGTTCGGTATGAAAGATGGGCAGAGAGGACAGCGTGAAGGAGCGACAAAGCTCCCTGGGGAAGATGTTCAGGCAGCAGATGACAGGACAAGGACCCAATATATGGTGGAAGACAAATGACCACCTTGGCCTAAAGATAATGTTATCGCCCAATGTCCTTTGTGCATATACCTGATTCTTGAGCTTGTTCATAAGGAAGAGCAGCAAAATTCTAAAAAAAAAAAAAAAACTTGCACATGAAGGACACAATCCAACAGATATGTAAAGTTCCTTTATTTATTGGAGATGTTGGAGACATTATATTATGATATATTATGATTTCACTATCAGACATGTGAATAC